GAATAAGAGGACGGAAACGCGAGCACATAAAGGGTCGGTGTCTGGCCAGACGGGCAGAAACGAAGCAGCAAGGGTTTTGTTTGTCCGGCTGTCCTCCCCATAGCATTCCTCTTCCTCTTCCTCTTCCTCTTCCTCTTTCGTATTCCTCCCCTTTCGCCGGTCGACATTCGTTCCATGAGAACACTCCAGCCCCCAATATCCCCTTACCATCCCTTAACGTTTTAGCGTGCATCCCTTCTGCTGAATCCTCTGACTCCGGCAACGACGCGCAACAATGCACGTGTGTACACTGTTTGCCCACATCCTCGCATATATCTTCGCGCGGCTATAATATCGATTACTTCGAACAAATTTCAACCCTTTGGCCGCTCGACTGCACTAACCGCTCTTACCTCCCAGCCAAATTCCTCTCATCACCCCTCCCACCTCTTGCCGCGACTATCTTTCATCCCTCTCCCTCTCTCTCTCTCCCTCTCTCTCTCTCTCTCTCTCTCTCTTCGGAGCTACTCAAGCACAGCTGAGACTGTTTCTCTGAATTGCGAGTCGAGCAACCCCCTTCCTGCCAACAGTACGAGCAAACCCTTTCGCGTCGCAATGCAGGCCTCGCGGCTTTTGCATTTGCCAATCTACCCTCCCCCTACATTCGCCTTCTCATTTGCACCTCCTTACGCCTCTGTTCTTCCTCTCGCGAGATCCGCTTGTCTTCTCATCGATATGGACAATCACGGTATTGGATCGAGTCACCGGAGACGAATGCAGCTATGCGATAACGAAAATAAAGGGAAAAAGAAACAATGATAAGCCACGTTAATAGGAGGGATTCAAGCTCTATACGTGTGTCCAAGAGATCAAAGTTTATTCTACTGCCGAGTCTGTTTTATCAATCATCAATTCCTTGACTTAAAGATAGACTACGAATCTCTCGATAATTGTTCTTCATCTACTCCCAGATAATTGCCGGATGCTCGTCAACTGAAAATGAGTTGCGGATAGGGCCCGGAATTAAATGACAAAGATGCTAGTGACGCATGGCATTGGAATTGCGATCGCATTCAGTGAAGGAGTCTCCAGCCGTCTACGAGGACCAGGGGAGCCGAAGGGGCTCCACCCTTTAGCTGGGTATCCGAATCGGATTCCAGAAGATTCCCCGCTCGAACGTGTCGGGACGCACGGGAGACAACTACAAAGTACGCTAATTTCTCGCAACTCCCGATTGTTGTCGAAACTTTCAGGATTACGAGAACGAGGCTGCTCGATGAGACAAAAAAAGAAATGAGCTCGCCTGAGACTCGTCACAGTGATCACTCACTCAAGCGAGACTGAAGGCAGGATGCGCGAGTAAGCAGCTCCAACAATTGCCAAGTGAAAAAAGGGGACGTCACGTCACTTTATTACTGTCGCGGTACAAGAGACTTCGAAATTGGGCCATACAAGTACAAATCCCTACAACAGATCCCGGGGGTAGCCGTCAGGGGGCTGTTTCAAGTAGAACGGGTAGTAGAGTGCTCGTAATTGTATACGCACTAGGAGAGAATGGCAAGGTAAACAAAACTATGTAAGATTGCCCCATTAATATACATATCTCTTGGTTGAGTTGGGCCATGCCGCACGCCGCACGCCGCACGCCGCACCCGCACCCGCGCGGCCACCCGGTGCCCGCCGTTTGCTTTTGCTCGAGAGGCCACGGCAGAGCGAACGACGGCTGGAGGGCGGAGGGAGTAAGCAAGGCTGAGTAGTCACCCTTTGGCCCGGGGGGAGGGAGGGTGAGTAGTCTTAGCCTCAGACTTTGGGGTTAGGCTCTCGCGAGCGAACAAGGAGGGTACACAATGGATATTGAGGCCATAATTTACGGCTGATTGTTACCCCCGCAATCTATGGATTCCTCCTTGGTCAACCCTCTCCACCTTCCTCACCCTCACCAGCGGCTCTCTCTCTCTCTCTCTCACTCTCTCTCTCAGCAGCACCTTTCGTCAGCCCTCGACAAACTCCTTGAATTCGTATTAGATACTCCGCATACTGGCTATTGGGGCTTAGCTGCATGTGACTGTACCTACACGCTGTGTTGATCCCGTACGCAGAGGAAATGAAGAGAGTGGAGAAAGTGGAGAACGTGGAGAAGAAATCCAAGCATCCACATTGAATAAGGTCAGAATGTCGAATATGGAAAATTCTCGTCATCTATAGTCTATAATCCATCCTACCGACTATTATGTGGCAACTATTAATTGGCATATCTGTACTATTGGGTTAGTCAAAGTCCATTTGACTTTTACGGTAGGACCAACTGCCAACTTCAGTTGGTGCGTTAATTCTGGCGCAACTTATATCGGCAATTAGATTAAACTCCGTACGTACTTCTGAGAGGAATATCTGACGGTACACGGTAAGATTTGAAATTTAATCTTTGAGGTTAATTAACGTGGAACGCGGGGTCCTGGCCAGTTTCAAGCCCAGATGAATACCAATTTATTGAGCCCATAGAGTTCGCATTGTTCCGAGTATTTCCTCTGTCCATGTTGTTTGCCTGTTGTCCTCTAAAAGCAATGAATCTACAACCTACCCCTCTTGTCACATGACGACCTGATATTGACTACTGGAGAATTCGCGACTATCACGGATTCCTACGGAGACTCTCACTCGGAAATTAATTGCTAAGATTAAATTTACAGGCAGTCTTCCCCCCTCCCCCCCACCCCCGAGGTGATCTGGTATCTCGCTAATTTGCTCGCTGCTGATGTCAATTAATATGTGCGTATCAGAGTTTAGAAAAGTTATACAACGCGTCTTGCATATGTTGCACGCGTAACTTCTGGTTAAGATGGAAACTGTGAGTTTCTCCATTTTCTCAAGCGTTTCTGAATATTTCTTATGCGGACACATTTCTCATGAAACATCGATCAGTCGTACGAGGTAGAGAAAGGAAGTTTTCTAGATTTCACGACATTTATATAAATTTATGACGGTTTTGCAACTCTGACAGATTTGCACAACGAAATCGTTAATTATATCTGTATGAAGATCAAATGTAGTTACTACTCAACAAACACGTCATGTGTCAAATTGTAAAATGGAAAACAGATGATTTTTGACATGAGTGTTATAAATTTTCCAATTGGATAAATTATGAAAAAACTCTCGATAAAGGAAATGTGGATAACGTGGAAAAATGAAATAAAATTGATCGATGGAAGTCAGCTGGTCCAAAGTGTGACATAACAAATGGTCATTGGACGTCGCTATAGAAGAAGCTGCTTGAGATGCGACACAAGGATCTATGTCAGCCATTTCTCAGTGTACTTCGCAATGTCGCCTGAGATTCGGCTTCCTGTTAGTGATAGGATGTGTGTGTGTGGTGGTTGGGGAGGGGGGGGGGCAGTCGAAGCTGGGGAGAACAATGCTCAGCAAGAAACAGTCAGAAAGGACAGCAAGTTGATCAAAGTCAACCGAGCACGCGACCTCTCTATCCTCTACAAGGATACAGTCGAGAGAGAGAGAGGGGGGGGGGAGGAAGAATTATCAGGTGTATACCGAAGATGGAGATTGGAAGAAGCTGGGAAAGAAGGTTGTGTCTCGGAAGACAAGGAAACGAGCTGAAAAGGGCGAAAGACTTAGCAAGCTCTTTCGAAGGATCATCCCAGCACAGTTTCAGATTTAGCAGGCAGAACGTCGGACGTAAAGTGTCCTCGGGGACCTTGTTAGTTGAATTTAGTCTGTGGAGGCATCGACGTCATCTCACGGCGCATACGTGATACGTGACTCTGATATTTAGAGGGTCAGTGAGGCCGAATGCACCAGTCAGTGCATTTGGCAACTGTCACGTAACCCCTTATTTGACAAAAATTTGAAAACGTCAAGCAGCTCGAATGGAAAATCTAAAATATACTATAAGGACAATAGTGATTGGCAGTATCTCGCGCCCTTTGATTCGTACGGCGCAATGGGCTGCTACTCGATGTCCAGCGA